CAGTGGCACACTCACGGCCACCCCAGTGTTGACCTGCTGGGCTCTGGTGATCCTTTTGCCTCAGCCTTCCAAGTAGCCAGAACTATAGGCGTGTGCTACCACACCTGGTTAATTTTTTACTTACTGTAGAGACGAGGTCTTGCCAAGTGGCCCGGGCTGGTCTCAAACCCGTGGGCTCGGGCAATCCACTCGCCTCAGCCTCTCATAGTGCTGGGAATACAGGCTGAGCCACCCAGCCCGGCCTGCTTAACATATTTTAAGGCTATTCTCTATACTGATATAATTACCCTTATCTGACTCCTTCTTCCTTTATGAAATCACATATTCTGAGATTTTTTTTTTTTTGTCTAAAGAACACCCTCTAGTATTTCTTTTAGTGAAAGTCTGTTGGTGATGAATTCCCTAGTCTGATAATCTAAAATGTCTTTATTCCCTTTTCATTCTTAAAGGATTAAAAATTTTTTTTCCAGTGGATGGATACAGAATTCTAGATTGGCAATTATTTACTTTCAACCCTTCCACGGCATTATTCTATTGTCTTCTGGCTTCCACGTTTCTATTGAGAAGGCAGCTATCAGTCTAATATTTGAGGATAATCTGTGTTATTTCTTATATTAGTTATTATTATTATTATTTTTTGAGTTGGAGTCTCACTCTGTCGCCCAGACAGGAGTGCTGGGCTCCAGCGATCCTTCCGCCTCAGCCTTCCAAGTAGCTGGAACTACAGGCGCGCACTACCACACCCCGCTAATTTTTTGATTTATTATAGAGGTGAGGTCTCACCAAGTTGCCCAGGTGGGTCTCAAACCCGCGGGCTCAGGCAGTCCACTCACCTCAGCCTCCCAAGGCGCAGGATTACAGACTGAGCCACCAAGCCCGGCTAGTCAGGCTACATTCTAAAGCTTTGTGCCCAGCCCTCCCATGCCTACAGACCGTCAAAGGTGGCCACTCTTTTCAGGACAAACTCAATGAGTTCCTTGGTTGGACGTTTAAGGATCTTTATGATCTGACACCTGCTTGCTTTTCAGATTTCATTGTCCATCACTCCCCTAGATGACTGTGCTGTTCCCCTTCAACTCGGTGCCCCTTGAATAGCTCTGCAAATGTCAGTGCCCTGGCCTGAACACCCTGGCCTCCCCTCTCCCCAGGTGGAAGCCAGCAGGCTCCAGCCCTTTCCACACCACTCACTCTGGCCCATAGAGCTTTCCGCCTCACCATGTGGATCAGAGGAGGCCAGGTATGTGTGCCGCCTGAATGAAGGTTTATCCTCCAGCTCAACACCTCTCTAGGTCTCCTTACACAGCCTTGTACCAAGCCTGTGTGTCAGGAGTGCAGGAAAGGTCTTCCCTGGATGGCCAGTAGGCATCTGCATTCCTCATGTGCTCTTATTTTTCGGCTGGGGAAACAGAGGTGGGCCTAGGACTACACCATAGAACCCTTGCTGTGCAGTCTTTTCCTTATTACCCCCAAGTAACCCCAATGGGGGCTTAAAACTTCCTTTTGTTACAATGACTGATGAGGGAAGTACCACTCCCCAGCCGAAAAAAACACTGTATCAGGCAAGTTGTCAGAGGCAGAAGCAGAATCCTTTCCCAGAATCAACAACAGGTGCTGGCTTAGAATAGGGACAGCTGAATTCACACCTGGGACCTTGTTTGCACCTGCCTATTAGGGCGAGGGAAGGAAGACAGCCTAAGAATTGAGAATTGAGCGGGTAGAATATTGTTTACCATCCTGAAAGAGACAACAGAAACCGAAGAGCTGACTCTCAGTCACGGGGTTCCCAAATATTGATAGCTGGGCAGCGTCTGGCCTCGATGTAGCCAATAAGACAGGGCTGCCAAGACCTTTTCTGCTGAACCATCTTCGTTATGCAGGCTCAGGACACAAAGGGCATGAGGTTTTGCAGGGCCCTGGGGGCATTCACCCCCACACTGAGCCCCTGCTCCCCTGCTGAAAGTGGAACAAGAGATGGGGAGGCTGGGCATGGATTGAGATGACAAACTGTGACGCTTCTACAAATGTGGAGGTTTATTTCAACAAAACGTGAAGAGTGCATTGGAAGCTCCTTGCTCATCAGGTTTATGTGTCCATTGAATTCTGAGACAAGTGAAGGCTGCTTTGTGAACAAAGTGGATAGATAATATGGCAGTCTCAGTTCAAGCAAGTCTTGGTCAATACATCATTTATCCTCCTGCCTCAGTAACCTTGTATGTGTAACGGGCTGTGGGAATATCAGACTGCTCATGTTCTGTGGCTCTTTCTGATGTATCCCTATGGAAGATCCTTGTCCAGGGTAAGACCTAAAACAAGGATTTCCAGGGATGGGGCAGTAGGCATTACAGGGTTCGTAGAGAGGACACTTACTCGTTTGTGTCATAATGTGATGGAGAGCAGGAAGGTAAGCAAGGTAACCCACCTGCCTCTGAGAAATGCAAGGACAAGCCCCTGAGGAGAGCAGGACTTTGTACCACCTGTAGGGATGTGGGGTTTGATTTACTCAGACAAGTATAGAGGAATAATCTGGTCAAAAATGAATACCCAAATGACCAGCAACAGTAAATGCATCTTCTTGGACCGAGAGTTGTCCTCCGCCTTTGTATGCCCTTCTTTGAAGGTGCCAAACACCTGTACCTCCCACTGGGGCAGCCTGGCGGAGGCCCTGACTCCCGGGGGAGTCAGCCTCACAGTGCCCATCTGCAGTCTGGAACTGCTGAAGTCCAGTCAGTCCATCTGCACAAACAGCTCCTGAAGAAGGGGAGGTGGAGCTCACTCTTGTGTGTGAACTATAGGGTTAAGGCTCAAAACTGTAGCTTGTGCGAAAGTATTCATACCACTGCTTCTAAAACGCCTTAGTGATTTCCTCTTTGGTCGTCAGTGACAAATGCAATTAGCTGCACTGTAGGAACCGGATGCTACACCAGCCCTGATCACCTGCCACTCTTGCTTTAGGAAGACCAATGGGGAATCAGTGAGTTCTCTTCTTGAATAAGCCAGTTGTTGATGAATTCTCTCCACCACCCCCGAGGAAGCCCCTGCTGCTGGCCGGGAGGGACCAGTAAGCCCGGAAGACAGCAGCACCATGACTGAGTTGTAAATCATCATAAGGTTGTGTGGATTCTGTTTCCCGGAAGCCTCCCCACGCAGGGAAGGCCAGTTCCTGGTGCTGAGCAGGGCTGTCACCAGGTGTTCTTTCAGCAGCTGTGGGAGACCTGCTGCATCTGTTGCCTGTTTACATTCCAGGGAAAAAACGAGGCCCAGAGAGAGTAGGAATGTCAGCCACTAGGAGAGTCGCCTGGAAACAGATGAGTGACTGTAGGCACTGTTAATGTCTTTTAACCACCAGAGCACCAGGCTTCATAGTAACAGCCTTCCGAGTCCTAGGAAGAGACACTGTCTGGCCTGCTCTGCACGTGGCACGAGCAACTAGTTTCCACCAGTGCCAGCAAGGGTAGTTCCCTCTGGCTCCTCCTCTGTCAACTCGAGTTGTAGCACTGCCTGTGGGACCCCTGGCAGAAGGCTGGGTCTCTCACTGGCCTTGCAGCTCCCAGCCAGATGCAACAGCTAGTCAAGCAGTGACATGCAGGCCAGAGGCAGGCCAGCCATCTTTCCACTTGTCCTAAGAGAACTTAACCCAAGGTTGAGGCTCCCCTAAATCAAGAACAAAACTTGGTGTATTTTCTTTCCCTGCTTCTTGGATCATGGTTTTGCCCTCTCTGAGTCCCCATGGAGCTTACGGATTTCATGCTTTAATTTTTCTTTATAAATAGGTACCTCAGTGTGGTTAAACTAGGAACCATTCCTCTCCAGTGCCTAGTGTGTGTCGGGCTGAGTGTTGGGATAATGAACAGCGGACCTGAGGCTTCCTTTTTCTCCCCAGACCTGGTGCTCGGCCGAAAACTCAACCCCTGCCCTCCTCTTCAGCCTGTGGCTTCGGCTCATGGGGCCAGGGGTGAGGGGAGCTGCTGAGTGCCCAGCAACTCCTCACCCTTCCCTGTACTGGGGCTCAGGAGCTGTCAGGACAGGAGGGGCAGCCTGGCTTGGGAGCAAGACCTCAGGGTACATGCTTGTACCCTTCATTGCCTTCTCGGTGTTGTGCAGGGAGAGGACTGGAGCCAGAGCCAGAGTAATAAATACTGAGTGGAACAGGCATGACTGGTAGGCTGGAGGGGGCTTTGTGATCCTACATCCCAGGATGTCATGCATAACCTGGAACGCTCGAGGGGAAGCAAAATGCCACTTGGACTCCAGTGCTGGATCTCTTGTGCCTTCTCATTACAATGGTTTCAGTTGGAAAAGGCAGCTCTGGCCCTTTTCTCCAGGGACAGGGAAGGGATGGGCAGGCAGTTCTTCCTACGTGGAAGGGGAGTCCATTGTGGAGAGGATCCGAACGACTTCTGCTCGCTGAGTGGGTGAGATGTGCTGGGTCATATGGACGATGGAATCCATAGCAACCTCTGGATTGGCCTGGACCAAGCTGGAGAGGAAGATGGAGTATGGTGAAGGAAGAGAGTGGCGGAAGTGTCTCAATCAGGGTAGCTGAAGGACTGCCTAATACACATGCTAACACAGTCCACTGTAGACACTTTAGTCACTACCTCGTCTGATTTGTTTCCCTACATTAAAAACGTCCCCTCTTCTTGCTGGTTGCCATGGTACACCTGTAATCCCAGCACTTTGGGAGGCAGAGGCGAGAGGACTGCCTGAGCCCAGGGGTTTGAGACCAGTCTGGGCAACTTGGCAAGACCTCGTCTCTACAACAGATGAAAAGAATTTGCCAGGTGTGGTGGCATGCGCCTGTGGTTCCAGCTATTTGGAAGGCTAAGGTGGAAGGATCACCTGAGCCCAGCAGGTCAAGGCTGTTGTGGTTGTGAGCATGCCACTGTGCTCCAACCTGGGCGACAGAGTGAGACTCTGACTCAAAAAAAGAATAATTAAAAAAGTAAAATGTCCCTTTCTAACATCTCAGTTTGCACAGAATAAAAAAATCCCCTGTAGCCAAGATAGTACAAGATGAATCCAAAGCATTTTGCTATGTCAGAAAGTAAGGAAGTAATTTAAAAATGCAAAACAAAAATAAATGTTATAAACATAGCAGAGCCTGCATGAAAGGGGCTCCCACTGGCTAAATCTAGGGCAATTTGGGCATCAAAATAAGCCCAGCAGCAAATTACAAATTAGTGAAAAAATAGAAATTCATGAGTCTACACTAATAGTGAATAACTCAAGCCAGAGGAGTAGGGACTTTTGCTTACAGTGGTACTTGAGTGGGGGGGCGTGTGGGAGTTGGAAAGTTATCATTTTGTAACCACACTGTAAAGACTGCTCCGGCCAAGAATAATCAATGGATGCTAAATCTAGGGGGAAATTTTGATGCGGAGTGAGATTATTTGCATGGCCTTAAAATGTCTTTCCATAGACTCCGTATTAGGTGCAAGAGGGGAAATCAACAATTACATAGTGAAGTGGAGTGACATGTTCACCAGGTGATGGACATTAACATAAGGAGGGGCAGAAGGACACTGGGTGCTGCCAGATGTGGTACCCTTTGAAGGCCACAGCATCACGTCTGCAATAGCTGCCAAACTGCATAACCTGAAACTAATCAGGAGGTAACACCTGACAGACTCAAAACGAGCAACATTTTATGAATGGTAGATTTTAGAAAAAAGTTTGACGTCAGTGTTAAATTTACTACAGTGGATCATTTTACCCTATTCTTAGCAAATGTACACTGAAGTATTTGGGGGTAAAGGGCCATCATATATACAACTTACCCATAAGTGGTTTAGAAAAAGGAAAAAAATGCATATATACATGTATGGGAAAGACAGTAAGCACACTCACAAACGATTCAGCAGTGGGGTAAAATGTAAATAAAAGGTTAATCTGGGTACAAATATATAGAGGTGTTCTTTGTACTGTTTTTAGTTTTATGACTTTTCTGTAAGGCAAATGTTTCCAAATAAAGTTTTACAAAAATGCTCCTGCAGTCTCCAGCACCCATCTCATGGAGAAGACTGAAGCCTCTAGATGAATACATCCGACACTTGGCTGGGGAAGGGGAGGAGGTAGTTTCCCAGGAAACTAACACACAATCAGCCTTTCTCCCAGGATTGTTCATCTGATTTGAGCATCAGCATCAGCATTCGGAGCTAATAGGTGGGTACCATGAACCAAGCCTTCATCTAGCTGAGATTACCAAGTGCCCCTGGGGAGCAGTAACTGGGAAAGAATTGTGCTTCAGGGCTATATTTGTGTCTGTGGGTCAACTACTGCAGTCTCAATCACAAAGAGGCCACAGGGATCATAAGGCATCGTCATCATCTCACGTTTTGTTCTGAAACTTTTTATCCCAAAGAAATTAGCCCCATGCTCTAGCGGAGCCCCCCACTGCTGGCCTCACCTGCGGATCTGTTTGAGGACGTAGTCTCTGCTGATACACTTGATGTTCTCTTCTATTACTGAGCGAACACCATCTTCCTCTGTCAGCTGTTTCTCCAGCCACTCCACCAGATCCTTATTATTGTCCCAAACATAGGCCTGCAAACAGACGACTCCCAGTCAAACACCAGGGGTCAGGCCAGGCCTGGATACCCCGATAGCTCAAAATCTGGAATGCTCCTCCAAAAGCTTGCTCGAAGTAAAAATGTTCATGATCCTCCCTTACTGGTGGCATTGTGGGAGGAGGAGGAAGCAGGCTTCAAGACAGGAGCTGCCACCATTCTCCCTTTCCTTCCATTGACAGTCATGGGGTGCACGGCCAGAGCCTTGGGCTCTCTCACTTGGTGTCTCCCGAGGGCGTAGTGCTCATACTCTCTCCTGCTAGACTCTAGATATCTACCTAGTCGAAAAAGGCTAAGAGAATTCAATAACCTGACAGATTTGAGAAAAACAGTTACAAACCCAAATTACGTAGTTAAGTGTGACTGAGAGGAAAACGTGGTTGACTTGGTGTTTTGTTTTCAGAGGAAGTGAAACACAATTCCTAAGCTGCAAGTGTCCAGCCCCAGCAAGGCCTGGCAGGTGAAGTCCTGGACTGTGTCTCTGCCCTCCGCTGAGGGAAGGCTCCTGAGACAGAGCCTACTGCCTTTCAACCAGGCATGCACAGGGGACTGATGTGAGGACAGTCCTGTTGCTAGCTAGAGTAGAGCCACCAGTTCAGAAACCTAACCCCTATTTTGTCATCTGTGAGTATTCAAAAGGGTCAAGATGTCCATAACCCTGAAAGTCTCAACAAACCACCTCTCGCTTTCTTTATTTCAAGATCATTTAGCTGAGTATTTCCCAGGTAGTTGACTACATAATAATTCAGGAGTGTGTTAGAAGCCTAATAGCCTTCTCCTTGTTCTCTTCTCTCATTTTCTTTACAAATCATTTAGGAATCGTTTTGTTAATGGTTTCCGGAAAACCAAGTACCACCATTAGGGCTCATTCATATTTATGTCATTTTGTTTGGGTAATTAAACACAAAGCGTCATTTAAAGGTGCGCTATCCTTCTCTGTTATCACTAACGAAGTCAAAGTCAGAATGACAATGAGTTTGGAGCTGTAATTTAATAGGTGGGTGCATTAGGGACTCTGAGGCTTGAGATGTGGCTACCAGAAACCTGTATACAAGCAACGGCACAAAGCCACTGCTGGAACTGCAGGACCTGCAAAGGCACAGAGGAAGTGTTTTCATCACACCCTTCAAGAGGCATTAAGCAGAAAGAAACTGAGCACTGGGGCTGCTTTCTAACTATTTCATGCCTTCAAAAGTAATGCATTTAGACTCTCACCTCCCATCCCTAGCTTAGCTGCTGTTAGCTGAGACTGACTTCCACGTTTCCAACAATCCTTTCTTTTTTTTTGAAGTTGCAGTCACACAGGCTGGAGTGCAGTGGTAGGCTCACGGCCACTGCAGCCTCAACCTGCTGGACTCAGGTGATCCTTCCACCTCAGCCTTCCAAGTAGCTAAGACTACAAGCATGTACCACTGTGTCTGGCTAATTTTTTGATTTTCTGTAGAGACGAGGTCTTGCTATGTTGCCCAGGCTGGTCTCAAACTCCTGGGCTCAAGCAGCTCTCCCACCTTGGCCTACCAAAGTGCTGGGATTGGAGGCTTGAGCCACTGTATACAAATTCTGAAGGAGTCATTTATAATGGAAGGATTAAGGATTCTCAGGATTAAGGATGAGCAGTTTGCCTTTTCTAGCTCTCTATCCGTTTCTTTTTCTGGGCCCAGATTTGCCTAACTGTTTGTAATCACCGATGAACTCTTCTCCCATTAGGGTGATATGGCCACAACAGTACAAACCTGAGCGAGCCTCTTTTCTCTGTGCCTTGGCAGAACTTCCACCATCTCTTGAGGCTAACCGCAGGAACATGTTTTGCTTCTAAGGAAAGGAGGTGCCATCATCCCTATCGACAAGGGGGAGGCAGGTAGCACCGTTTCTCCCATGACGTGGTTGTCTTAACTCATTCTCGAGTCCCAGCTTGCTGCAAACCCCACAAATGGATGGTACCCTTGGACTCCTGAACACTGCCACCTAAATTCTGACATTTCCATTTCCATTATTGGTAACTTATACTTCTGCTCTGTGGTTTGAAAACTTCTATAAATTAACCTACTTATGAAGATCTGGGGGGAGGAAAAAATAAAACAACAACCGCTTCTTGGGTTTCAGAATGGAAAAAAGACCCAAGATTTTCAGATTTACCCAAGAATCCCAAAGCCTTTAGTGTAGGAGAATATTTAATACTCTTATTAATCATTTTTAATCCGTTTGCTTTTAATTAAGAAACAGCATGATGCTTTCCTATCAACATATGCCAGGGAGCAGATTAATTGTGGCTTAAGATAACTCTCCTTGATTGGTATAATGTATTAGCTAACGAGATGCCTGCTTCTAACGATGCTGAGACACTACACTGGAAAGCCGGCTACCCTCTAGAGAAAACGCTTCTTCCTTCCCCCAACTACAACCAGAGTGTGCTAGGTGCTTAAACATTTTTAGAGGATCCCACACAGGCTTAGAGCAAGACATTCCAATTTTACAACTGCTTGAAAGCATAGGCTCTACATATAAAAGATCCGCTGTTTACTCAAAGCACAACTGGATGACAGTCACCAAGCCAAAGCCCCAGTAGAGTGTAGATTATAACCCAGAGTCCATGAAGGAAAAAGAGTCACAAGTCCTAATCAAATGCATTTTTAGTAAGAATAAACAGACTCATGTGCCCATAGTGCCTCTGGTTTTTCTCAACAGATCCAGGAAGGTTAATATACTGTTGTGAGTTAATTTGCTCTACCTAGGAAAAGCAAGCTCTCTTCATTGGGTTATGGAGTCTACAGTTTGCTTGCCTTCTTAGAACAGAATTGTAAGACTCATCATTCCAGCCATCTAGAACGATAGGCCAACCCTATTCTCAGGAAAAAGCCATTTTTACTTTCCTCCTTAAAATTATGAAAATGTGGCCACTCATTCCCAGGATTCCAGTGTGGACTTTAAACATGTATGACATGCTAGGCTGCTGACCTCACGACAGGCCTGGACCCGTATGCCACCTGCCCGACACTCATCCATTATCAGAATATTTTAATGCCAATAAAATATCAATAAGTAACATCACAAGAGTGATCTGACTGTTCAACAGACACTGTCTCTCTCTGCATCAGCAGATAAGTATCTCAGGCACTACTCAGCCTCACTAATTGTATGTAGTAATTAGTCTATCTTACTAAATCTAAACGATCAGGTTGGAAAGTTTCATTTCCGACATATTGGATAGCTGTTAAACCCTCCTTAGAGATTCAGAAGAGCCGGGGAGTGACCGGGGCTGAACCCAATGGATGTGAGCCCTGATTACCATGCCCTACAAATAACTCATCTTAGGAGCTGTCTGGAGACACCTCCAGCTGGGGAGTTTCCTCCCAGTACTGACTAGATTTCCAGGAGCCAAGCAGCCTGGTGGGGGTGGGGGTGGGAATGGCTCACACATCCAGGAGTATGCATATTTTGGAAAGATATTTTCAATACACCTACAAGGCTAAGATCTACCCAACAGAAGCCTAGGAGGCCATATGATTTTTTTCAGAGGCTTTGGAGTACAACAGCAAAGAAAGGCATGAGGGCTAGGGTGGCCCACTGGAATCCAGTCTCCTGAGAGCCACCCCCACCTCAGTTCCAGGTTTACAAGTGGACCGAGCAATGCTTTCCAGCTTCAGCCTTACCTCCTTCCTCCCTGGGAGAAGTTTGTGTGTGAGAAGTTTGGTACATGAGAGGTAGCTTAAGGCCAGGCTCTAAGGTCAGTGATGAAATCAAATGACCCTATCAATAGTGCTTTTTCCTCTATGATCCTCACAGAAGCCCCCACTGAGCATTCATTTCACTTGGAAAACCAGAATAAGAGCAAGTGGGTAGTTTTCTGAACAATAAGGATGCACTGTGGTGTTGGGCTGTGCATACATCAGAGCAAGCCAACCTGAAGAACATCTGAGCATCTACTGTGCTCAGGAGCCAAGCCCTTCGTGTCAAGAACATTAACTCTCAGTCTACGTGGCTATTTTCTACCTTCCAACATGCAGTGCTGAGAGAGGAGCGGAAACAAACATATTCTCAGTGTCCACAGACATTATGCTCCATATTTTACTCATCGTGGTATTTAAAACTCACCGAACCCCCATAACATAACATCACCCCTATTTTACCCATGAGAGAGTAGAGGCTTAAATAATATGTCCATACCAGTAAATGGCAAAGCTGGGATCTCAGAGTTTGTAAGATTTCAAAACCCACATTCTAATTGTTCCAACAGAGTCATAATCTCACGTTCTACTATTGGGGTCTGGGGGGAAAAAAATCCAGCCTGTTTGAAAAACTACATACTTCAAATTGGGATCTAAGAAGCAAGAGAGAAAACATGTTCATGATACAAATAAGTTCTATGTTCTTATGACCCCACTTAAACCACAGTTCTTGACATTTTTTTCAGGAACCTGTGGTAATGCTTTGCTTCTGTCTGTAGTGAAACTATGAACCATAAACCCTACTGTTTCCTACAATAGGACTCTCCCAGTGGATTCAAGCAGAATCCTATAACTCTTAGTAACAGATACCTCTAAAGGAAACAAAAGAATTACATCATCAGTTATATAACATCATCAAACATCTTCAATTTTCTGTCCCAGAATCTCTTTTCAAGATTAAGATTAAGAAAACAAGTTTTCTGGGAAGAAGGAACACACAGCATGGCTAACAGATGCCTATCATGAAATGTCTTTTCCTACCAGTAACCACAATAAGGATTAGAGAGTCACTTCTTGGTGCAAAGCCAGGGTGTCTAGACTCAGCCAGTCTTTGCACTTGAGAAACACAACACAATATCTATCACTGTTTGAAAAGACGCCCCCTCCCCCAAAAAGGTTGTTTTAAGCAATTTCCAAACACCAAGCAGATTCTACATCCAGCCCTTCAGAGGCACACAGATGGCTTCTGAACATTGCAACACTTTCTTCTCTCAAGGTCACTGCAGATTTTTATCACCCACCCCACACTAAACTAGGTCCTGCTGAGCCTGCAGAATATGGAAAGAGCTTTCAAAGCCACATGCCCTGACATCCTAGGATCACCATCCTTACTTTTCTCCTCAGCTGTCCTCTTTGAGAGCTGCCGTTTGTAGATGGGAACAATGCAAAAAGCTCATTTCTTGGGTAGAGTTGGTTTCCAGAACCTCAGGCAACCTCTTCCTGAGCTGTAGGGCTGGAGCTTCTCCTGTACTTCAGTTCCAGCCAGGAGCTTGTACACATACAATACAGTCGACCTTTCTCTCCATTGATAAGAAACAACAATGACCTGTTTCTTCAGACACGCTGTTCCCCTGGGAGCTGGATGCTAAGGAGCAACTGAAGGGTCTATCTGCTCACTTCATGCTTGGAGGGAAGCTATTCCTTCTTCTCATCCTTGTGCCTACTGAGGCTGTGCACGTCCATTAGTGACTAATGTGGTAGGGAGGCAGTGCAGGCCTCTCCTGGCCACACACACACAGTCCATTTACCTAGCCGGCCACTCTTAACTGGAGAACAACCTCTTATTTTACACTTAAGTGACTTTCAATGCCAACTTCCACTAGGAGCTGCCAGTAGCCACTGACAAAATTGTCTCACTCAATTATGATGCCACAGACTGACCTTAACCTGAACCAAATGTCAGAAAAGGCTGTGCTTCCCCACTGCACATCTGAAATATTTATCCAAAGAAGGTTTTCAGTCATAAAAGAAATGGGCAGACTAACATAAAGGTAAATCTTAGAGGCATCCCAATTCACTGGCTTTAAAATTGATGGCAAATCTTGGAGTTCCTCCCCAAGAATGATTAGCAGAGACTTCAGGCAACACTTTCTAGGAAGAGACTGGAGTGCCTGCTTTGTGGGTGATGACACTTCAAGCCACTACCAGCCACCCAACCTTTCTTCATCAGTACTCTGACCCAGTGGCCATCTAATGTTTTTCATCACATAGGTATGAGAAGGATAGACAAATACATTTTGAGCACATACTACCCATATTCTGATAAAATGCATATATCACATTAATCTACATATGACTACTAATAAAGGTTAATGTCTTTTTCTATAGTAAAAATAAAAGTTACAAGTCTTTTTGTTCATCCTCCCATGGACTATCTTGAACAGTCCACTATTCTGGGGCAAATGCTGCTGCCCTTGCTAGGTCACCCTGGCCTCAGACCTGGCCCATCTGCAACCCGGAGACAGGAGCACCAGGGACACCATGTCAGCAGGTCACTGCTCCAAATCGTGTCAGAAGACACCAAGTTCATAGTTCCCTTTCCCTGCACGCAGGGGTGGACACTTCCTTCTAGCTCTGATTTGAAATCAGAAGCTCTTTAGTTGCAGTTGTAGCATCTCCTGCCTACATTACGATCATGCTCTGGTAGGTTTCTGCTTCTGCCCCCTTCAATTCCATCCTCCACAAGACCCCCGAGTGGTCCTTCTAAAACAGAAACCAGAGCATGTTGCTCCATTGCTTAAAATACCTTAGTAGTTTCCCACAGACCTCAGGACAAAATCCAAACTCCTTGGCGCAACTTACATGGCTTTGCGTGATCAAGCCCCGCCCCTTCTTACCAGGGCCCCAATGTCTGAGCCATCCTACTCTTGCTGTCATACCTGGGAACATGCTATTCCTTCTGCCTAGAACACTCCTCCTACTTCCCCATAACCAATCCAACTTCTCCTCTGGTTTATTCCTACTTTGTTTTCAAGTTTCTGAGACATCACTTACTCCAGAAGCTTCCTAGACTCTCCCTCCCACTTCCCAAAGAGTGGGCCAGGTGTCCTCTGTGCTGACTACGCTCCCTGCTGTGTTTAACATGAGCCTCACTGTAGTGTGTGACCTCTTCACTTATCCATCTCCCCCTCTAAATGGCAAATTCTATGTGGAGAAAAACATCTGCCTCTTCCAACTGCCCTGTCCTGGGGCCTAACGCAGTGTCTGGTATGTAGTAAGTGTGCAAAAAGGTTTGCTGAATGATTGCAGGAGCTGCAAAACACGCCCTCACACCTATTCTAACAAGATGATGTGATGTGTTACTGGGGGAGGAAACAAAGCTTAGATCTCTATGCTTCCCTCCCATTCCTGCCCTTGGAGACCTGCAGACTCTTAGACAGCATGCCTTGTGCCCCCGGGTGTGGGTGAAGGGTGTGGAACACAGCATCAAGGCCTCTCTGTGGGGGCCCCACCGACCTTCACTGTTCCTTCCACTTCCACAAACCAGCGCCTTAACATGGCCTGGATCTGGCCGTCGGTCAGCTCAGGGTTGGCATTGTGGATTTTCTTCTTGACTAGATCCTCCAGCAGGAGACGCCTCAGCCGCCAGTAGAAAAAGGTACGGGATGTCTTCCAATCCAGGATGTCCTTAATGCATAGAAGAATAAGTTTAGTCAGCTCAGTCCTAATCCTTGCTCAGAATTCGGCCAGTGGGAGCCTCATAGGCATAAAAACCTACTCTCCGTTTTATTTTATTTTATTTTTTTTGAGTTGGAGTCTCACTCTGTCGCCCAGACTGGAGTGCAGTGGCCGCTCCCGGCCACCGCACGCAGCCTCGACCTGCTGGGCTCCGGCGATCCTTCTGCCTCAGCCTTCCAAGTAGCTGGAACTACAGGCGCGCGCTACCACGCGCCCAGCTCATTTTTTGATTTATTGTAGAGATGAGGTCTCGCCAAGTTGCCCAGGTGGGTCTCGAACCCGCGGGCTCTGGCAATTCATTCACCTCAGCCTCCCACGGCGCAGGATTATAGGCTGAGCCACCGAGCCCGGCTACTCTCCATTTTAAAACTGTGAAGAGCTGGGCTTGGTGGCTCAGCCTGTAATCCTGCACCTTTGGGAGGCTGAGGTGAGTAGACTGCCTGAGCTCGCGGGTTCGAGACCCGCCTGGGCAGCAAGACCTCATCTCTACAATAAACCAAAAAATCAGCCGGGCCTGGTAGCGCATGCCTGTAATTCCGGCTACTCGGAAGGCTGAGGTGGAAGGATCGCCAGAGCCCAGCAGGTCGAGGCTGCGGTGGCCGGGAGCGGCCACTGCACTCCAGTCTGGGCGACAGAGTGAGACTCCAACTCAAAAAAAAACAACAACAAAAAAACTGTGAAGAAGCGTGCCACTGGTCTGCTTCTTTAGGTTCCTGACACCCCAGCAGTCTTCCTTCCAAAATTGGTAAACAGCACGACTGCACGAGGCTCCATGCTGTTCATTCTAGTGTGGATCTGCCTGGAGGGCTGATGGGAGGAGGGCTGGCTGGTGTCTTGAGATGAGACTCTCAGAACACCCTTGCTAGGAAAGCAAATGTTTTTCTTTCCCCACTAAAAGGAGCCATGGCTTCCTGGAGAAATAGCTGAGAAGGGCTGGGGCAGGCAAAATCTAAGATGAACCTAGAAAACGGGGCGACAAGCTGAATAAGAAGCTCTTCCCAGACCCAAAAGCTGGCTGTGAGTTCCCAGAACCTGCACCTCCAGATGTCCCCCAGGGCAGAACTGTAGCCCACGTGCCCTGCTGTCACTGTGCACGGCCATGGTCCTGGCTAATGCTGAGCCCACATAGCTGAGATATTCTGCGGAAGAAGCTGTGAGTTCCCAGATAATCAGGGAGGGAGAAGTTGGTTTTGACCAAATGGATCAAACCATGTGCAGATCAAATATGAATTAGCTGTGGTTGAACCTTGACCCTGTAGTAATTCATAGCCTGAAGACCAGTTGGGCAGCTGTCACCAACAAAGGCACACATGACTTAGTTCCCCACCAATAAAATGCAGCTTGCTTCCTAAGGAGTTCATGGAAATCCAAATCATACATGGAAATCCATATCATGCTTTAGGATGATAATGGATACAGAAAAAGGGAAAAGTTAAAAAAAAACTGAAAATGGTTTGATCTTCACAAGTTTTTTAATTTGGCCCTAACAGCTCCCTGCTTGTGAGCCTATGTGCATGACACACACGCTTGCTCGCGGGTCTCTGACAAGTCAGGAGAAATGGCAACTATTGCACTTACGTTAATAACACCCTTCTCCTGCATCCGGCCTGGTGTGTCGTGCAAGTCAGCAAACTGCACGGCTACCTGATGGTAAATGGGAATCAGGAATTCTTCCCGCTCCTTCAACTTGTTCTCCAGCTCCTTCCGCTCAGCTGGGCTTAGCTCTGGGGTGCCTGCAATTAGATAAACCTGCCCGTCATACTCTGTGGTGACCAGGAGTCTCTGCAGAAGCAGCCACAATAACGGGAAGCTCAATGCCACTTCGCCTCTTCCCTTGGTGGCCTGGCTTTCCATTATCTTCACTACTCTGCTGAGTAACAGCCTCCTTCCCTTGTTCCTACCTTGCCACAGGGAGCCTGTATGTCCTCTTTTCCCTGTGGTAGTCACAAGTGTGAAAGCTGCAATGGCAACCCCTCTCACCTGAGCAGGTTACTGAGAGGCCTGCGTCACACCTTGCTGACTACCATCACGACTCCTCCTTCCCCGTGAGAGGTCAGGGCTTGCATACTGATACCATGCCCAACCCTGCTGACCAGCATTAAAGTGGCTGGACTATTCCAAGTGTGGGATGTGGTGGGAGAGCATAGCTAAGATCCAGCACAAACCAGCAGCTCTTGTTTCCTCATGCACATGCCAGTTACCCACCAAACTTGCTAACAAGCTGAATAACTCCTAAAGTTCCAAGTCTCAGTACTTCACTAATCTCAGGTTTGGATACTCTTAACCTCAAATTAGTAGAATCCAATCTAAACAGATGCAGATACACGTGTCTTAGCCCATCTGGGCTGTCAGAGCCAATCCCTGACCAGAGTGACAAAGACATTCTAGTTCTTGGTCTAAAAGAGAAAGAAGATGAAAAAAGAAAAAGGTAGTCAACAAACCTCATCTGGATCACAGCACTTATACACACATGGTACCCTCACTCAACAGATAGGAGGCTCTGGAATTCCTTATAGCAAAGAAGGGCTCCCCCATTCAATAGTGTGCCAGTAGAGGTGTTGCTATGTTGTGCTTTTCTTTCTAATTACTCATTGGATGGGATCTGCAATCAATACTGAAAATTTAGCTGCCTGCCTAGTAAGGAGGAGTAAGTTTAGCTGAAGGAGCAATAGGTGACAGCCCCTGGTGTTGGGGACAACCTGAAGTGCTTTGTCACCAAAGCTGACAAATAAATATATGAGCACAGGTGACAGGATGCAGAAGAGAAAGGTCTAGTTCAAGCATGCCTGTCTGAGAACAGGCCTTGTTTTTATACTGCTATGAATCATATGCCATAAACAGCCTTGGGCTGCTGAGTGAGCTGTAAGTATTATACATAAACACATGTTAACAGAATAGGGACATAACTATAGTACCTAGTTTCATTTTTATGAGTTTTTTGGATGCCCAACTCCACCTCTTTTTTTTTTTTTTTTTAAAGCTCATCACCATTTTAAAACTGTGAAGAAGCGTGCCACTGGTGTGCTTCTTTAGGTTCCTGACACCCCAGCAGTCTTCCTTCCAAAATTGGTAAACAGCACGACTGCACGAGGTTCCATGCTGTTCATTCTAGTGTGGATCTGCCTGGAGGGCTGATGGGAAGAGGGCTGGCTGGTGTCTTGAGATGAGACTCTCAGAATACCCTTGCTAGGAAAGCAAATGTTTTTCTTTCCCCACTAAAAGGAGCCATGGCTTCCTGGAGAAATAGCTGAGAAGGGCTGGGGCAGGCAAAATCTAAGATGAACACGGGGCAATGAAAAGCAAGGAAGCACTCAAAAAAGGACTAGGACATGTCAAAGAATACAGAAGCCAGTCTGAAGGCTTCTGGCCAAATTGGGACAGTGGGCGATAAAATAAATAATGATATTTATTATCATATAGAATATTTACGGACTACAATAAGAATCTGTGGGTCTAGCCCTGATATGAATAATTAAATGGGGCAGAAGGAAAGGCAATGCTCTCCCTTCCAGCGAAATAACAATTAATATATGTAGAAGGAATGCTGGAACTAGAAAATCACCACTTCACAACCAGCATAGTAATTGATTCTGCTAAGAATCATAAATGGATGTCAAAACAAGTGAGTGAAAGTTTGATGAGAAACAGGATATACACATAGTCTCAAAGTATCTCCTTACAAATCATTTATTCATTACAAAGGGGAAAATGGTAACTTTATAGTGGATTATTCTAGTGAACAAAACCTTAAACAAGTAATCAAAATTAACATAACTAATAATGGACAGACTGACATCATATGACTCCTGATATGATGTCCTGACAAAATCACTTCTGCAATTTTCCTGCCAAAATCGCAGAATCTGAATCTAACCATAGGGAAATATAAGACAAACCCAAACTGAGGAAACTAGTTACAAAAATGGCCTATCTTGTCAAAAATGTCAAGATCATGAAAAACAAAGAAAGGCCAAATAATTATGCCAGATTCAAGGAGACTAAAAATACTTGACAATGAATTGCAATGTGTGCTCTGGAATTAGAGCTCAAATCCAAAAAGAAAAAATACAAAGGACATTACTGGGACAACTGGTAAAATTTCAATATGAATCATGGATTACACAGGAGTATTATATCCATGTTTATAGTTCCTGATTTTTATAAACGTAGTTATATAAGAGAAAGTCTGTATTCTTCGAAAAACACACTAAATATTTTATGGATAAAGGAGCAAGATGGCAACAGAATACTATCAAATAGTTCAAGGAAAATGTGTATGTGTGTGGAGTGAGAGTGAGCACTGCACGCTCATGAGCATGCAGAAATGATAAAGCAATGGAATAAGATATTAACAATAGGTGGATTTGCCTAAAAGATCTAAAAATCGACCTTCCATATGACCCAGAGATTCCCATTCTGGGAATATACCCAGAGGACCTCAAGACATTCTCTAAAAAAGATACCTGCATATGCGTATTTATTGCAGCATTATTCACAATAGCAAAAACATGGAAGCAACCGTGCTACCCATCAAAAGTGGGCTGGATTTTTAAAATGTGGTACATATACACGATGGAATATTAAACAGCCATAAAGAAGGACAAAATTATGGACTTCGCAGCAACCTGGATGGATTTAGAGTCTATAATACTTAGTGACCTATCACAGAAACAAAGAACTGAGTAACACATGTTCTCACTCCTTATGAATATCGGATCCTGAACATTTATCATAATACAAGAAAAGGATTGGCAGTAGCAGGAAATTGCCGGGGGTAGAGGGGTGGGGGTGGGGCAGATGCACATAACATTAATAAGGGTATGTGATCTCAAACCAGACAAAGTGAGGATCAAAGAGAGAACCAAACTTTACCTGTATGATGACCACTTATCTACCTAATCCTGAATTGTACCCCACATCTATAAAATAAATAAAATTAAATTTTAAAAAATAGGTCAATTTGAGAAAAAAGTATACTAAATTCTTTGTATTATTCTTGTAACTTTTCTGTAAAATTATATACAATGAAAAAATTTTAAAAATTAGGCAAGGCTGGGCATGGTGGCTCAAGTCTGTAATCCCAGCATTTTGGGAGGCCAAGGTGAGGAGATTGCCTGAGCCTACAGGTTCAAGAACAGCCTGGGCAGCTTGGCGAGATCTCATCTCTACAATAAATAAAAAAAATTAGCCGAGTGTGGTAGTGCGTACCTGCAGTTCTGGCTACTTAGCAGGCTGAGGCAAAAGGATCTCCTGAGTCCAGCAATGCTGGGGTGGCCGTGAGTGTGCCACCAGCCTGGGTGACAGAGTGAGACTTGAAGTCACAAAAAAAAAAAAAAAAAAAAAAAAGGCAAGCTGGAAAAAAGTTTTTTCCTGGTTATCTAATACACACAGTCAATAAAACTACTATTCATAGGGCACTGGGTGCCATCCTAAGTGTTTTTTAATCTATTAATTGATTATCACAACAACCTTATGGGATTAGTATTCTTATTATTCTCAGTGTAGGTAAGGAAACTGAGGCACTGAGAATTTATGTAACTTATCAGGGTCACAAAGCTAGAAAGTGAGAGATAGGACTCAAGTGCAGCAATGTGAATCCTAAAACTTTTGAATACTATGTTATGCTGTCTCTTCTTGCTTACTTGGAGCATAAGACAAGTGCGTCAGTAGTAGTATTCTTTGAATTTCAGAAAAGGCTGAGTTATGGTGGCAGATCCTGGTTGCTAAGCTGAAGTTCCATCTTAGTCCCATTTTATAACTAAGACCAAACAATGTCTTTAATAATTCCATTTTGTAGGTCAGATGTGATTTTCTAGGCAGGTTAAAGATTTAAGGGTAGTGTCTCCTGTTACAATATGTAAAACCACAGCGCTGTTGGGGGCAAAGGGATAGCAAGACAGTGCAATGGCTAAACAGGGAATTCTGAACCCTTACAACATTCTCCCTTTGGGTGGATGACCAACATTGCACTTGAATGCACATATACATAAACATGGACCATACATAATGCACCATTTATTGAGCATTTACTGTGTGCCAGGCACTGCACTCAAATCTTCCAGGATCCCATAGTTTATGCGTCACTGTGCACAATTCAGACCTAAATCCTTATGTGTTAATGCTGCTGCCAAGCTGAGCACCTTAGCATAACTGAGCACTTTCCAAGTTACTTCACATACATTAGCTCTAATCCTAATAACAACCCAACTGGACAGACAGGGTATCTATTTTACAACTAAGAAAACCGATGCTCTGAAATGTAAAGAGACTTGCTCAATGGCATCCAGCTCTTAAGTAGTAAAGGCAGGATTTATACTTGTGTCTGGTTATCTCCAAAGCCAGTGATCTTCCACATTAAATGGTACTGAGGCTGCAAAGCAGATATCATGGCAGGGGAAACCAGCAGGAGAGTTGGCTCATGTTGTCAGCAAGGAGTTAAGAGCAAGACTCAGCATTGGCTGCAGAAGATTGAGGAGGAGAGTGTTCTGGAAACAAGGCTTTGGCTTTACCAAGTTGGAAGGACAGAGGAGGCTGGCTTCTGGGCTAACAAAGGTCTTGCCTATTCAATCAAGCTATTCTAGAGCTTTGAAAGAATAACAAAATAAGCACCTGTAATGCTCTGGCCCTTCTGAGACAAGGAAGACCATGGGGCATTCCCCCAAAGGCTGCCTTGTTTGATTCCTTTAGTAATGCCTCTGATCATAGTTTAAGACCCATCTCAGAAAAGCTTCAA